GAGAGATGTAGGAACCCAAAGCCCTTTGAATAATTTACAAACTATGGCAGAAGATTTGTGGGAGGTATGGTCAGAGAGGCAGGTGAGAGAGGCAAGTCTCATTGCCCAGAGATTTGAATGCAGGCCTAGAACTTTAGGGCTTTATTTCATAGGCCATGGGAACCACTGAAAGGTTTTTGTTCAGACATGGCCTATTGAACTCAGTACACATTTCGTCATGGTCAAGGGACCTGAAGAGCAGAGCCTCTTTTATTCAATAATTTAATCAAAGATCTAAGTAGCCATTGCCATGAATAACATGCCTCAGGACATTAATATTTTGTTTTGAGCAGGGGCTGGAGATAGGGGTGTGTGTTGGGGTGGGAGTGGGGCGAAGGGTGGCAGTCTCCATTAGATTTTTATAGTATCTGTGAGTGAAGTTATATCTTATGAAAAGGGGGGGGGAAATCCACACTTAAGAGAATAATGAGGCCCTGATAAAACAAATTATAAACCGAAAAATGTTTTTTTGTTTGTTTGTTTTTAAATACTGAGATTTACGTGTTTAATGGTCAGGGACTTAAGTTTACCAGGAAGTTTAATTCATGGGATTTATTTAGATTGCTGGCAGTTTAGCCAACAGTGTCATTTCCTTTCGACATTGAGAGTGCCCAGGAAGCCAACACTCTGCCCCTGTCATGCCTGAACTGCTCCTGCCAAGCTCCTGCCGTTCTTCTGTCAGATGAGAAGAAGTGTGGCTTTCTGTGGAGCCACCTTTCACAATAACAAGGCTTGTGTAAAGATTTCCCATTTTCTAGATTCAGTGAACCTAACGAGAACTTGAAATTCATCCCACAGCTCTGCCAATAAGTATTTCAGTGGTATTAAGTTAATCGGCAATAGTTTTTCTTTTTCTTTTCTTTTCTCAAAAATTCCTGGAAATGGTGAAAGACACATTGTCATGACAGAGACTGATGATAATATTAAAAACTGAGAATCTCTAGAAAAAAATTCCCCAGTCAAGATCAAATTGATACTCTTGTACCTGGATTTAAAAACTTGCAAATTTAGTTAGAATATCTGTTGTTTTTTGGTTTTTTTTCCCCTTTCCCTCTTCTCCTGCTGCCTAGACTTACCCAGTCATTTCCTAAATCTTTTTCTCTCGTGAACATTATTTCAACCAGGCCGCACTCCTTCTCGCTACTCTTTGAACATTTTCCATTATTTTCTAACTCTAGTCAAGCTCTTCCTCATATAATGAGTATGTATAACATAGTAAGCTTAATATGAATTGTTTTTGTGTGTGTGTGTGTGTGTGTGTGTGTGTGTTTAAAAATGGGATGCAAGACTTGAAAGTAAAAGCTTTCACTTAAAAATATGTAAGGTTGTGAATAATGTAGACATTTTGGAAGTCCCATATTTGACTTCCTGTAAATAGATTCAATCCCTGCTGTTGTATATAAAACAGCTTTGCTTGTTTGGATACTTAGAATAATCGTTCAAGGGATCCAGTGTCAGAATAGAAATAAAGTATCCAGCATTGAGATCAAACGGAATGAGAGAACCAAACATCAGCACAAGTAGAGGATAGAGTTGGATGGTTGAAATTTGAGGACTGTTTGAAATGAACAATTTACTACTTAGATACCAGGGGTTAGAGTAGCAGCTCATTTTCCTGGTTTCTGTCATTGCAGGTTGGAGAGGAAAAGATAGGATGGAACATGTTTCCTTTTATTAAAGGCTATAAAAATGCCATCAAAGCTTCATTTTAAATGAATATATAAATTAAGGGAATATATTGTAATACAGTTTGCTATTACATGTACATATGTAATAAACTGAAAAGGAAACTGTTTCCCATGGTGCAAGCACAAACCAAAGAGGCATATTCAGTTTCAATAGTAATAGTTCATATGCTAGCCCATCCCCCTCGTGACTGTAGCTACACTTCAATGGTCAAGAGAAAGGAATAAAAATGGTGCAGCGAACCAAGCTGAAACACTTGGTTATATACAACTCTTACTTCTTTGTGGTAGATAGTGGTAGACACTAAGAAGTTTGAAATGTGGAGATAATAATAAATTATCAGGTTACGTTTTCCCGCACATACAGATAATTATCAACTAAGTATTTATTATACTTACAAGTACACACAAAATAATTCATGAACTCATCCTATAGGATAGAAGAAATTTGGTCCTTTTGAGTGTCCCCGTCACTCCCTCATATAAAATGTCTTCTTTGGGCAGATATAACAATTCCTGAGGCAGGAATGATGATTCTTCCCTGCATCAGGCAACCACAATTGTCAAAAGTTCACAACTGGACATAGGACCACTTAAAGATTTAGCACAGGGCATCATGTCTAGGAGTAAACAGACCTCAATGAATTCTTATATCCTGTTCATAAAATTGTGGAGAATATCTCTAAAATATTTTAGGCAATCTGTATATCTCAAATTTCAGTCAGGGGAGCCCATATGCTATATTCATTATGCTTGTTTTTGTGCCTTGTGTTCACCAAGAGATATACGCATTTTTTTGTCATTCGGTATACTAATTAGTAAGTCATCAATTATTGACTAAGATGCAAATCACAGAAGTGCCTGTAGTAGCTTTTTCAAAAGTATGGACTTTAGTATTAGAATCCCAAGAAATTGCTCCTGGTCTGCGTGTTCTTGAGTAGATGCTAGCAATACCTGGTTTATACAGGTAGCTCACACGGACTAACATACACATTTAAACACATTGTATTTTAAAGTAAGCAGTACAGCCATATCACATATGAGATGCCCTTTTGGGTACTAACGTTTAAGCCATCATTTGGAGTTTTGAAATGAATGGCACAGCTTTTTGGTAACTTTATTTATTTTTTTTATTTTACCATACATTTTAATTTAAACTTAATGTCCTTCCCTCCTAGATGTCCAACATTTCACTAAATGAGATATTTCTCCATTTTTCAAGTCTATCTACAGTTGAAACATCCTCTAACTCTGACACTTTTGCTAGTTTTGTTTATAGACAAGCCTGTACTTTGTTGATTACTTATGTGATTGAGTAAACAAACCCTAGGTGAGAGTGGACTGGGTAAGAAACCAGGAAACCAGAATTATCTTCCCTAGTCACCTGGTAGTTTAATAAAAAATAGAGAAATCATTTAACTTGAATATGTTCAGAGAAACACCCTTTGTATTTACCCTTTTCTACTCCCAATATGTTTTTAGTGGATGATAAAGTAATACAATGAAATATAGAACTTATGTGTCCTAATAACTTAAACAGCTTTGGGAAGTAAAATATACTTTGATGGGCATTCAATTAGTGTTTGATCAAGGAATAATTTACCCACTAGTTAGAAACATTTTCTAATTGTCATATGATAAAATATAAAAGCAAAGACTGTATAATTTGGGCAAGGTACTTAACTAACTTGATTTCTTAAAGCCTTGGTTTCCTCATAAGTAAAATGAAGGTAGTAATAGTAAGTACTTCGCAAAGTTAAAGATTAATAAGATAATATATGTAAAACCCATAGCAAAGTGTCTAGTACATATATTCCCCCAAATGGTACCGATTTAAAAAAAAGTCAAAGAAAGCTTCAAGAAAATGGGCAACAGTGTCCAGAGGATCTCAGGTCCCTCAGGGAAGCATGAACTACAGAATGAGAACTCAAAATACAGTATTTTCTTCTAGAATGTGATATATATATATATATATATATATATATATATATATATATATGAAAAGCCACTCATTCTGCATAACTGCACACTAAAAATAATAGAGAAAAAATTAAGATTTGAGTAGACCACACAAAATCTATTCAGCTTTAGGTTGTTGTTATTAGTTCTGTAGTTACAATCCTCATAAAAATATTAACTCTCTAGCAACATCACAATCATCTAACCCTTTGGATCACACTTCCTCTTAAATGGAGGAGATGGGAGTTATTGAATATGTTTGATTCTGGTAGTTTCATCAAAATTAAATATCTGATTCAACGTTCAGGAAGAAATGACTGCACAACTTGTTCAGCTGTAATTGCAGCTTTAACAGAGAGCTTAACTTTTAAAAAGTGTACGGTTCTTGGCACCACTCAAGCAAACCTATTTGTGCTAAAGGAGTGGACTTGTACAGCATTTTTAGCCACTCATATCCATTTTTTTTTAGACTTTTATACATTGCTAAGGCTTTCTTTTTAATTGGGATGAAAGCTTGCCCCCAGTCACTATTTAAACAGTTAACATGCAAAAAAAAATCATATGAACCAGCAGGACATCCATAGTCCAAATTATTTTGATTTTGTTCACTATCACCAATAGCTCTTTTATTTTTATAGGAATGTGTATTATAGCAGAATATACTCTATATTAAATGAAAGAATTCTGAACTCCCCAAATCTCTTTGGAACTAAGTTGTTTATAAGAGAATAAAGGAATATAAATGAAGCATGTTTCTATTGTTGCTTCGGTTTCATGTATATCAAATGCTCTGAAGGGTTTGTCCACCTTAGAGACATCGGTTAGTGTTTTCTTATGCTCATTCCTCGCAGTTGGCTGAAAGTCTGTGAAATAATCTCTGGATAACTAATAGAAATTCCCCTTCCTGCTAATAACTACTGTTCAGTATCAATTTGATTTATATTTTTCCTGTAGCAGTATTTTCCCCCCAACATGCCTTTCAGAGGTTCCTCTACGGCACTCCTGTCTATTTCTAGCACTGAGAGATCAAATTGTGCCTGTAATGAATTTGGGAAGATTGTTGCCCAAGATAGGCCAAGACCACTTTAGTCCAATTATTCCATGTGCACAATATCCTTTGTGTTTTATGTTGGTATTAAAGTATTTCACACTAGCTAACTGGCTTACTTCCCCCAATCTGCATAAATTAAAAAAAATAGTTTTCCTATGTTTTAATTGTGTTACCTTATATCAGCGCTAAAGCAGCAAGTTGATACTTGACTCACAAATGATATGCATAATTTTCTTGGGACTCATTTTCATATCTTTTCATTTTAGCTACTTTAAGAAGAGATGATTCCATTATTTCAAGTCCTGATGTCACTGATATTGCACCAAGTAGAAAGAGGAGGCAGCGGATGCAAAAAAACCTTGGGACAGAACCTAAAATGATTTCACAGGAATCTCAGCTTCAAGAAAAGGAAAAGTAAGTCATTTTATGCTTTGCCAAACAGTGAGGGGACATTTAAAAAATCTAATATATCATCTTAAAAATTACATTTTTTATTTCTGAATTTAAGGCTATTTTTAAAGAACAAAATTATGATTTTGGAAATTGTAAAATGCTTAAATCCATATATTTTCCCTGGTGTTTGGTTAATTCCTATTAATATTTAAAGCAGAAATGCTAAAAATATAAGCAAAAGTTTTTTGCTTTTGGTTTTTATTGATAAATTAGAAATGGCATGTAGGATACTAAAAATATTAGAATCCAGCTTGTGTTCAGTAAAATGTTTCAATCTAATTTACTGCTTTAAAGAGACCAATATAGCATTCAAATTAACCCCTTTATTTGGTTATACTTGAGATTTTTTTCTTGTAAAATGCCTCTTTCTAGTCATGTTTATTTCTATTATACTTTAGACTTATATACTTTGTTTTTACAGTTCACTCTTTAGTTCAGACTACACTCCCTTTAATCTGCATCCCAATTTAGTTGTAATGAGTTAAGAAATTGGGATAATAAACATTTCACTGCAGCAAAACAATCAGCATTTAAAGGAATATTATCAGTTGAATAAAAAACGACTGTTCAGATCATTTGTATGTTTGGATATATATATATATATATATATATATATATATATATATATATGTGCCTGAGAATTTATTTTCTTTTCTTGAAGCTTTTTATTAATTTGGCAAAAAGTTATTGAACAGTAGCCATATGACAGATGATCTTACAGACCAGAGGTTTTCAAAGTGTGGAATGAGGACCCCTGGGGGTTCCCAAGGCTCTTTGTGGGATCCACTAGGTTATATCTATCCCTTCTTCAGTCCCATACCTGTGTGAGGCCGGATTTCTTCATATATTTCAATTAAAATAGCATGCCACATGTGATTGAATGCAGGAGCTAATGAGAAGCCAACTGTTTTCATTCAAGCCTGCCATCAAACAGATTTGCACAAGTGTAAAACATTGCCTTCACAAGATTTTTTCTTTGGGAAATATAATGATTTTTCATAAAGAATATATTATTCATGTTATCGTAGATTGGGTTTATTTTTAAATTAATTGATAAAGATTTTTAAAGTTTCTCCATTTTAATTTTGAATATGACAAATATAGTCCACATAAATAAAATGAGGTCTTCAAAAACTTTTAAAAGTGTAAAGGGATCCTGAGAGCAAAAAGTGTTAGAATTCTGTTCCAGACAGTGAGGATGCCAAGACATGCATCCTGAGGAAACTGGCAGCCTGACAGGATGGGGGTTTCGAGTTTCTTGCATCAAAATAAGAATTGTCAAGTTAATAGTAGAATTGTTTTGTGTGTCTATTTATCATTGGGTTTTTATTCTCTCTACAATTGGCCTGTTCTACTAGTACTTGAAAATGCCATCTGTATCCTATGGTGAGTCCCTTATGTCTTAAGACAATACTCGTATATGTGAAAACCCAGTGTGCACCAAACTCTTACTGCCTTGTGTTTATCATGTGAATTTACTCATTCTCTCATAACCTCCTGGCTTCATAGCGTTCAAGGTATTATTGTACGATCGCTTTAATAATGAAACAAAAAATATTTCCAATTTGCAAATAGAAGAGTAAGCAAACTATTCCTATAGGTTAATATGGGAAAAATAAAATTACAAACAGTTTGAAATATTCAGAAAACTCTATTCAGTCAAATTGTAAGCAAGCGTGTAATGACTATCAGTTATGTGCCAGGCATAATATTGGATGCTGAGGACTCAGGAGAGTAGATAGCAGACACAGCCCTTGTCCTCGTGGAACTTCTGGTCTACCTGTTTAGTCTGATACAGTTTTCAGGATCTAGGGGAAGAATGAAATACATTGGTTATATGTCGGAGAGCTGCATCTTAGGCCTTTCTGCTCCATGTGTGACCCAAATATAATGTTTTGGGTTACTAACATTTCTGAATACATATATTGCTTGAATAGGTTTCTGATGTGCATGGCACAGAGATAGAAGTTTAGATCTGAATCAAAGACTAAATATTTTATATAGGCTTTTGAATAAAGGCAATGTGTTTGTTTTTACCAGCATACATGCAATTAATATTGTGTTCCTTTTCTTTTCCATGTTTAGATGACTGTGCCAGTATTTATTTTGTATACTTTCACTACTTTAAAAGTTGATATAAACCTTATTAGCTTTTTGAATCGCCTGCTAATTATATCATTGTGGACTTTTAGGCTCAAATACTGATGATTAACCCTTATTGTGTTTTTAAATTAAAACTACTGCCTACTTTGTACCTTCCTAAACACCTTGTGACCCTGATAATTTCTCATCAAAATGTTCAGCAGTTAGGCTAATAGACTCTCACTGTAACCTCCCAAACAAATGCAGGTGTGGAATAGATTGCTACATAGAGGTGAAAAGATATTGGCCCCTAACTCTAAACTTCACAGTTTCCTAAGCCCTTTAAGAAATTATATGGCCTCTAGCCCCTTCAGATATTCCAACTGGGCATCTTCTATGTTTTTTTTTTGCTTCTCCAGCCTGCATTTCAAGAACAAATAAAGTGGGGAAAGGGATGCTGGTATTATGGTTTAATTTTTTTTTTAATATCTACCAGATTTTGTGCAAAGTATTTCATCTCCCTGGGATTTCGTTTTCTTATCTGTATAATGAAAGGATTGAACTAGATGATCCATAAAATCTCTCCCAATATCTATAATTCTATTATATTTGTACAATTCACAACTTTTAAAGCATAAACATGATTTAGCAATAAATTACTTATGCATTTACTATTAGCAACTAAAATTGATGAAAAATATGATTAAAAATATAAAATGTCTGTGGGTGAGAAATCTATTCATCTTTTAAATTTATCTATTTAGAAGTATTTCACAATGTACAATATTTAGTACATTTCTAAATGTCATGGGTTATTTTGTACTTTTAAAAAAACTAAATAATCTAAGTTAATATATGTATACACACACACTAATCTATAACACAAAATTATGGTAATTTTTAAATTTATTTAATCATATATAATGATACTGTCATTGGTACAGTGACAAGGTATAGTAGAAGAGAGAGATACAAAAATAAATAAGATTTATGATAAATGCTTTATATGTAATCCCTCATTGAAACCTCACACAAACCCTACAAGGTAAGTATTAATGTCCCCTTCTTAGAGATGAAAAGCAACCAAGGCTCAGAAAGACAGTCATATTCCCAGAGTGGCACTGCCAATATTTTATTTTCAAGCCTGTATTTGGTACATTGCCGCATGGAGTTTATAATCTATTGAGAGACAGAGATTCACAAATAATTGTGTGATTACAAGAACAGAGTGAGGGGAGTATACCAGCCTTGAGGTTCTAAATTGGAATCTTTGGAATTACATTCCAAAGTTTTAAAAATTCTGTCAAAAGTGAGAGTGGTTTTAGGGCATTTTTTTGAATCTGAGACCCCCTTTTGATCTATGTTAGAGAAAGATGCTTGGAACTAGTTGATGGGATCCCCAATTCCATCTTGCCATCTTGTCAGTATTAGAAAGTCGTAATGTGTTACTTGTACATCATATTTAATTTATGTTAATGGTTAAATAGTATAATAACCCAGTTCCTTCTGAGTTAATGAGATGGCATTATGAAGTAGTAATTGTAATTTAACTGCATTTGATAAAAATTACGTTATTTTTCAGCTGAGAGAATTAAATCAATTCGTAAACAAACTTTGAAAATTTTGGGACAAACTATATGTATCACTATAACAGAAAACTTTTGTAGTAAAGTTATTTGTACCAATACAAATACTAAATAGTGAGAATGCAATATAGTTTTCACCAGAAAATGTGTCTGAAAACTACTATGGAAATGTTTACCATATTCTATAAGATACTACATATTAAAGTATATTGTTTATGTCATATTAAAGATGGAGAAGTGAAATCAAGCCCGATATAAGTGTATTTGCCTTTGATAATAAGTATGCCTAGTATTTCAGGAATTCAGATTAAACAAAATAGTGAAACCACATAATGACAATTGCAGTCTGTCCAATCTCTTTTTCTGACCCTTTCTTAGCTCCTTTCTACTTTGTTACATGGTAGAAAGACAATAGGTTTTCCCTCTGACAGATGTAAAGAGCCATGCCCAGCAAAGGTGACCTCTCAGAGTGGCTGGGCTCTCGTATGCCATTAATGAATGGATAGCAACATGATTAGTGAACACCGTGCATGATTAGATACCCCGTTCATGCAGGAAAATTTGCCACATCAATCTGTCAATAAATGTAAAAGCTATAATAAAGATCACTTGGCAATCTGAATTACACATTAAAATTCCATCTTTATATGAAAATAATTATTCTTTAGCCATATAAGAAAATTAAGAAAATATTAACCAAACTGAGAAGCTAAAAAGTGCATTTGTAATGGTCACAGTTTTTGTAATTAAATAGTGCAGTATATTTTGGAAGTTCTAAAAGAAATGTGTTACTCCTAATGTCTTAAAAATATTTTATAACCCAAGACAAATGTAATTTTCTAAGTCTCTAAGTTTACCCTAAAAAATTATGTTACCATCTTAAGTGGGAACTATCTACTATGGAACTATTGACCTAACTCTGTTAAATAATGTCAAAAACTGTATTGTACAAAGGTACACAGAGTTTTAAGTAACTTATCTAAGGTCACAGAGCTAGTGAGTGTTTTTAAATGATTATTCAGTTGATTAGTCAATGACATATTCCCCAGTGTTTATTTAGAGAATAAGAGATTGTCTTTACATGGGTGAGTTATTTCAACTCACCAAATTCAACTATTAAACCAGTTTAATTATTATTGTGTTATTATTATCTTACCAAATTAAACTGTTAGCTTTGCATTAACCAATCACTACTGTTTATGAAGCTGTTTGACTACATGGTCTTTCCTTTCAGTTTACTATGCTAAAGAAGGTATTGCCTGCTTATAAACCTGTACTATGTCATAAAAGTAA